AGGGTCAGAGGGAGAAGCAGACTCCCTGCTGAGCAGGGAGCCCAATGTGGGACTCGATCCCAGGACTCCAGGATCATGACCTGAGGCAAAGGCAGTCGCTTAACCAACTGAGCCACCCAGGCACCCTACTAGTAATTCTCAATGCATGTATCCCCTTTCCCAGACTTCTTGTTCTGGGAGCAAGGAAGTCTCAGGAAGACTTGAGTCAGGTCCGTCCCTGCTTTGAAAACCCAGAATCATGGAAATTTCAGGTCAGAAAAGAGGACCCCTAAGCACTCCAGGCCAGTGTTTCCAAATTGTGGGAGTTCACAGACCACTAATACTTTTTTAAAAACTCTGATGACAGAGTTGCCAACTTCTTATTTTGCTAAAGACATTAAAATAGTCAACTGCCAGCCATTCATCCCCATTTCATAAAAGAAAGGACTTTTTCACAACAACAACAAGCAACAAAGAGACACCTTTCATTTCTCATGAATCTTAAGTTCAAAACATTCACCTTTAACAGGAACTCTGAACTACCTTGTTCTGGTTATCATCACCGTGACACAGACCAGTGAAATCTCTGTTGCAGACTGGTCTGGGCCTCTTATTTGCCAAGGGTCTGCAGCTGTAATCCCACACTTTGAAGCCTTGGCTGCAAATTGGAATCACCAGGGAAGCTGTTAACAAATGACTATGGATGCCCAGGCCCCACCCCTAGAGACTCTGATTGACTCAGACCAGGTGGGGCTCCCCCGTGATTTTATTTTGCAGCCAGAATTGAGATTCGCATGTGTAATCCAGTCCCCCTTCCGATGCATGAATCCCTGGTATAGCAGTTCTACCAAGTTTCTGTACAACCAAGACAAACAACCTTAATGTTCGGGAGGTTCCCCATCTCTGAAATCTCCCCAAACTCTGATTTGGAAGAAGGGATTTCCTGAAGGTCAGGATCAGAGAGGGGTAGGGAACTTCTGTTCATTAAGTGCCTGCTGGGACCCAGATCCATTGGTAAGTTGTTTTGTTTTTTTTTAAGATTTTATTTACTTTTTTGACAGAGACACAGCGAGAGAGGGAACACAAGCAGGGGGAGTGGGAGAGGGAGAAGCAGGCCTCCCACCAAGCAGGGAGCCCGATGCGGGGCTCGATTCCAGGACCCTGAGATCATGACCTGAGCCGAAGGCAGACACCCAACAGCTGAGCCACCCAGGCGCCCTCATTAGTTTATTTTAAATAATACTTACTAGTTTCTTTAAAAATACAATAAAGTGTAAAGAAAGATATAAAAATAGCATATAATCCTACTGTCAGATACCCCTTATTGAGTTAAAAGGCAGGGGGAAGCACAGTATGATAGGCAGATTAATGCTGCCCTCCCCACAAAGATGTCCACATCATCCCCAGAGCCTGTGAACATATTACTTTATGTGGCAAAAGGATTTAAAGTTAAGGATGTTCAGATGGGGAGATTAGCCTGGAGGCTTATCTGCAGGTAGACCCAGTGTAATCCACAAGGGCCCTTAAAAAGTAGAAGGGCTTGGGGCGCCTGGGTGGCGTTGGTTAAGTGTCTGCCTTCGGCCCAGGTCATGATCCCGGGGTCCTGGGATCGAGCCCCTCATCGGGCTCCCTGCTCAGCGGGAGCCTGCTTCTCCCTCTCCCACTCCCCCTGCTTGTGTTCCCCCATCTCTGTCAAATTAAAAAAAAAAAAAAATAGAAGGGCTTGGAGGCAAGGGGCACATGGGGGATCTCTTCCACAGTTTTGCTGTGAACCTAAAACTACTCCAAAGTCTATTTTCTAAAAAAAAAGTGGAAGAGGGAAGGAAGCAAAAGAGGTCAGTGTGCTGCAGCGTAGGAAGGGACTTACTCTGGCCTTGCTGGTTGAAGCGGGAAGGGGGTTGCGAGGGGGTTGTGCCTTGATTTTAGCCTGTGAGGCCTGTCCTGGACTTCTGACCTCCAGAACGATAAGATAAACTGTATACTGTTTAAGCCACTACATTTGTGGTGATCTGTTATAGCAGCCATAGAAAATACTCAGGAATACATCGTGCCAGGTTTTTCACACATCTTGCTTAATCCATGTAAGCCACCTGAGAGTAGGCATTTTAGCCCTACTTTAGAGATGGGCAAGCTGAGACTTAGAGAAACTTGCTGGCGGAGCAGGGATTTTAACCAAGGTCTTTGCCTTTCTAAGGCCAAGTTTGGGTACACTGTCCTGCTCCTTCCCCTCTAGCTGCACCCCACCTGCCTGCCAGTACCAGCCTGAGTTTCCGGTCCTCCCTGGGGTTTCTAGGAGAGCTTCCCCCCTGGTGGGATTTGGGATTCTATAATCCCTTTGGGAGTGTGGGGGTGTGGGGGGATGATGTCAGACAGAGAGGGTGTCAAAAGAGTTTTTCAAATCATCTAAGGAAAAGTAAAGGACATTTGAAGAGAAAGGCAGGGAACCTAAGACATGAATTAAGGAAAATGGAAAACATGTTCCTAAGACCCAGGGCTGTGGCACCATAGAGACCCTATGTGGGGGAGGGGGCCTCTAACCTCCATGGGTTCATGCTGCTGTTCCCTTCTATGATCCCATGTGGGCAGACAGCACCCTGCTTGGGGAGCAGGAAGGAATTACCCTTGGACACTCCATTGTCTTGCTGAAATGCCCCCGTTGCGGTGCCCAGAGGCCTTCACAGTCTTGCCGATGGTAGCCATCCAGGCCCACAGTGGGAGGTGCAGAGACCAAACCTAGGACTTCCCACCGGCTTTGGCCATGGGAAGCCATTGACTCAAGGGTCTGAGGCTTGCCTCTTGGCACCACAGAGCCTCTGAGTCTGGGGGGAGGATTTCTGCCTCTGAGCTACACCAGACTCTCCCTGGGCCTCTGCGTCCTGTGGGGCCATCCCCCCAAGAAAGGGTGCCGAGAAGAATCAGCATTCGGCTAACTATGACCATCTGTCTTTGCAGTCCTCAGAAATATCTTTGTCCTCGTCTGCATCATTATCGTCTGCTCCCTGCTCTTCCCTGTCTTGTGGCACCTCTGGATTTATGCGGGAAGTGCCAACTCTAATTTCTTTTATGCCATCACGCTGACCTTCAACGTTGGGCAGGTAAGAGTCCAGGTCTACACGGGGACAGGGATTTGTTTTGTAGCTTCAGACGTTCAGCAAAGGCCGTGGGTTCTGCAAACTAGGCATTTGGACGTGAGTGAGGGGACCATTCTTCCCCTGAAGTAGCTCCTGGTCCAGTAGAGAAGATTAAAGAAGAGAGCAGCAGAAAAGCTGAGTTCGGCCAGCATTTATTGGGCACCATGCTGAGCCATCGCCCCAGTGCATTCTCCCTGCAAGCCTGTGAGATGGTGTTATCACTGCTTTACAAATGCAACCAAGGCTTGTTCACACAGGTTGTCTCTTGCCCAAGGTCGTTGGAGGAGCCAAGAACCAAATTCAGGGAAGGCTCCGTTTCTGAGGCTCCCCTCTTTCTGTAACAGCCCCTGGGCTGCGTGGCACTGTAGCGGGGGCAGTGGGGGCCGGGGGGGGGGCAGGGAACAGGGATAAGGGGAGGAGAGACTTTCCAGACTGGGACAGCAGGAGCAAAGGCAGGGAGATGAGAACTAGTTCAGTCTAGCTGTTGGGTCAGTCGGAGCAGAAATCATGGGACTGGGAGTAGCGGGTGAGGAGGCCGCAGGGGGTCAGAGAATGAGAGGTATAGCTGGGAGCTCCGATCTCCTCCTGACCCAGGGAAAGGCCCTCCCTGGGTGCCCCAGAGCAATGCTTCTCAGAATCGGGGTGAGGGGGGGTTGTTAAGAATGCAGATGCCCTGGTAATGTTTTAAATCCTATAGATATGTTGTGACTACCACAATTACACAGCTTCGTCCAAAAAAGCAAACAAAAAAACCCCCCAGATTCCCTGATCCCACTCCCAATAGATACGGAAAACAGGGTCAGGAATTTGTGGTTTTTATAAGTTTTCCCAGAGATTCTGCTGCAGGTGGTCCAGCACACTTCTCTGAAGTTCCCTTAGGTCAGCTCCATCTTCCTTGTGGGGTCTTAGGAGAATCAGTTGTCCCATTTACCACTTTAATTGCCGTTGGCACGGCCAGGCATTTCCTCTGCTTGATGGACTGGATGGGAAGCCAGGCGACTGGGGAGACAAATGATGCCAGGGAATGGTCCCCAGGGAGAGCCTTGCCTCCAAGGTTAGCTGCTGGGAAAGAAGAGGGGAGGAGCTTGGGCTTTCGCAGTGAGTGATGGGTCTGGTATTTCCTGCACAGACCTTTCTGCACAATTCTTGTCTAGCCCGGTTGTTTATCCTGGTTTGTGAACAGCAGGAAGAGAGAGGAGGGCCCTGTAGCCTGGGTGGGACCGTGCTGGAGGGTCCATCCTGTCTGTCACACACAGGTTAGTCATGGTGGATGCTCAGCTCCTCCTGTGGCCTGCCTAAACAGAAATGTGCAGGATTCGACTTCATACTCTAGGAAATCCAAAAGGTTGTTCTGGCCCTTCTGTCTTGCTGAAATCCCTTTAATTATCTTTGGAAAGTGATGGCTGGCGTGTGAAGGCATTGGGCCCGCCCTGGGCCTCTGCGGAGTTTGGCAAAAGATCTGCTGAAATAGTCCACAGCTTGTCGTTGGGTCATGAGTGTCAGGTGTGGGTCAGGACTACAGTTGCAGTGATGACGAGGTATTCATGGAACTTGCCAGATGACTGCTTTTTTCCCTGTGGCTGCCTTTGTGAGGGAAGGGTCTCCGTCGATGGTAGGGGAGATGTTTGCAAGTGCTCAGGGACCATTGAAGGCAGGAGAGACTGGACCGTTGGAAGATGGGACTGGGGGTAGGAACGAAAGGCCAACTACATGGAGTGTGCTAGTTGGTGACTGAGCTGTGGAGAAAAACCAGGCTGAGCCTTGACGTTGTCTTTTTACCTTTTTTTTTTTTAATCTTTTAAAAATTTACTTTTAATCAGACAAGTAATACATGAATTCATTATTGCTGGGAAAAGAAATCAAACAAAATAGAAGCTTACGGAATGAAAAGGGCCCCTAGGGTCCCCCTCTCTTCCCACCCCGGGCAGACATCATGATTGGGATCGGTGTGGGGTGTCTTTGCAGATGTTGTCTGTGCATTTATGACCACTGTCAGTACGCATGCATGCATGCTGAGCTTGTTTGTGTACATGAAGAAATGGCCTCCTATTCTGGACACCGCTCTTGGACTTGCAGCGTTTCACTTGATGATCCCCTCTTGATATTGGTTCCAAGAGCCCATGGGCAGAAGGAACTTGATTGATTTGACTAGGTAGGCTCCTGCTGATGGACATCGAGGCTGCTTCTGGTTTTCTGCTATAAATGGAAGAGCCCTGGGCATCCCTCCACATAACCTTGTACACACAGGCCAGTGTTTTCTCAGGACAGACTCCAGGTGGTGAGATTTACTGGGTCAGAGGACATGGGCCTTGTGCATTTTGGCAGATACTGCCACGTTGCCCTTCAGACAGGTCAGACCAGCCTCCAGGCCTCCCAGCTGTGGCCCAAGTGCAGACATCACACACCTGTGTCATCGGCCGCCTCGGATCTGGACTCTTGAGTCAGACAACTTTGTCGGGTCAGATGTTTTCTGGGACTGCTGGCTTTGTTCGGGCTCTGTGGCGGCTGCTGCCAGATCCCTGAAGGGACACATCACATGGGGGCACTTACTCACCAAGGCAGTCGCTCAAGTCCTCTCACTGTCCTGGAGCATTGACTGAGCAGAAGAGTGCCCGTCGTGAGGTTAGACGCACCTGCCTCAGGCTGTTGGGAGCCACAGAGCACAAATATGAGACAGAATTTTAGTCACTGTTAAGTGTCCCCTCCTTAAAAAGGCCTTCCGTGAGGTTCCCCTGCTCCACTGTCTCCTTCTTAGCCTGTTTGTTTCCTTCCTAGCACTCTCCCGGCTTATAAGTTTATATTATTATTTCTCTCTCTGCCTCCCCTATTAGCCTCTGCACTTCATGCGAACAGAGATCAGCCTGTCCTTCCCACTGCAGGGGCCCCAGCTACCAGCTCTGTGCTTGGCATAGAGCAGTTTAGCAACAGTTGCTGAATGAGTGAATGAACCAGAGATGGCCAGGGAGAACGGGGCGTGATTAAGGGCCCAGTGTGCAGAGTAACCACTGGAAGAATCCAGCGGGAACAAGATCCCCTTTCCTGTTGTGAGTGGTCATGAAAGCCCTGGGGAGCAAGGAATAGCAGCTGGGCCTTTCAGACCTGGAGAACAAGAGGTGTGGGAGGTGGGCAGGTGGGGGGGCCAAGTCGCCCCCACCGGCCGAGGTTAGTGGGTAGCAGCTCTGTCCCTAACCCTTCTCCGGCTTCTGTCAGAACCTGGTCTCTGTGGCTGGGGAAGCCGCTACGTGTCCCCCACAGATCAAACCAGCCCTTGCTTCCATCTGACCTACAATCAGTGCTTCAGTTGCAATGTAGGGCATTTGGGGACATGTCTTCAGTCCCATGGCTGGCTTTTCTCAGCTCTTCTAGCTGGGACGATACCTTAAAGTCCCCTGGTCCTCCCTCTCCCCTCCCTGGGCAAGACAGACCAGAGCTGTCCTGGGAACCAGATGAGCATGGATTTGCAGCAGGCATCCAGAGCCCAGTCTGTCGCTGGTGAGTGCGGAATTGAATGTGGAGAACATCTTGACCCGTAGATTTTTAGGTCCTGCTCTGTTTGAGTTGGTCAGTGCCACACTCTGTGATATGACAAACTACTGATAAATTCTTAGTAATAGGGGCGCCTGGGGGGCTCAGTTGGTTAAGCGACTGCCTTCAGCTCAGGTCATGATCCTGGAGTCCCTGGATCGAGTCCCACATCGGGCCCCCTGCTCAGCGAGGAGCCTGCTTCTCCCTCTGACCCTCCTCCCTCTCATGTACTCCCTCTCTCTCTCTCATTCTCACTCTCTCAAGTGAATAAATAAATCTTTAAAAAAAAAAAAAAATTCTTAGTAATACTGGCAGGTAAACCAGTGACTTAGGCTCCATCCTTTCCCCTGGGGCCATTAAGTAGTTTACAGTTTGTGGCATGGATCATTTGTTAATTATAATTGTGCCTCAAAGTCAGTAACCAGGAAATGACAACAGTAAAACATCCATGGGTGTGTGTGGCACACACACATACACAAGAAAGACTGGGGAGAAGGAATGGTTGAGCTAGATTGATTGGTTGAGGTCCTTTTTTACTTCCTCACAGTGTGACCTTCAGCAAGTGACTTCTCTGGGTTGCAGTTTTCTTAAAACCAGGCTTGATAACCCAGCCTCCCTGGGTGTTGAGAGGATAGGGCATGTGTGGGTCCTGTTGCCATTATTCATATGTTGATATGAGAAGTAGCACCCGTGACCTGCTCTTCAGGTAGCCAGAGCAAATCCCGAGGGAAACATTCAGACCGATAAACGGAAAGAAGAACAAACTTCTCTTTTTTTTTTTTCTCTTTTCTCCTGTAGGTCAGTGACCAGCAGAAGAAAAATAGTCATCAAGGATTACATATAAATCAAAATTAATATGTTGAGGGGCACCTGGGTGGCTCAGTTGGTTAAGCATCCGACTCCTGATCTCAGCTCAGGTCTTGATCTCAGGGTTATGAGTTCAGGCCCCATGCTGGGCTCCATGCTGGGCTCCATGCTGGGCTCCATGCTGGGTTCCATGCTGGGTGTGGAGTCTACTTTAACAAACAAAAAAAGTAATGTGTCTAAATTTAGCTTTTTTGAATGAGTAAGATAAAAACATCCCACTCACCCCCATTCATCTTAAAAACAGGGAACATGAGGAAATCTCTTCCTAAAATTATAATTAATAGTGGCTCATGTTTAAAGAGTGCCTGCTAGGGGCCAGGCCCATATGATCCCTTTAATCTTCTGGATCATGTGCTTGTGTGGCCTTCTGAACCTTTCCTTGTGCACTCGCATGTACTTGTACACTCCTGGGGAAGAGTTTTATTTGTGTGGGTGTTTTATTATTGGCATCATGATGAAATATGACTTTTTCCTTTTAATAAAACATCTTGGCGATCTTTCCCTGTTTGTGTAAGAAGGAAGCTCCTCACCACAGTTGACGCAGCTGCTCCCCTCCTCGGGGCCCTGTAAGC